CCCATAATTTTTAGTTTACAGCTTCGTATTTATAGCCTCTACTTGTAGCCTGTTTGTTGGTAGCCACACCTTCCCACTCCAGTGCGCCACACTATGCATACCTTTGGTTCATGCCATAACTACAGCTTGCCAAACAATTTGTAGCCCCTTGCTACATGCCATTGGCTCATTTTTGTCCAAAACTTGCCACAATCTCTTTTTGGCAGCCACACTTCATGGCTAATAAGTTAGGCATCAACCAACAAGCTATGCTCTAGCGACTGTGGATGGGGTAGGAGTGTAGGACTATTTGCTAATTCAGTAATTATAATAGGGCCTTGTTTAGATAGATGTTAGGAATCAGTATTTGACACTGTAGCACTTTCGTTTGTATTTGATAATTATTGTCCAATCATGACCTAACTAGGCTCAAAAGATTCGTCTCGTAATTTACCATCAAACTATGTAATTAGTTTTTTTTATCTATATTTAATACTCTATGCATGTGTCTAAAAATTTGATGTGATGGAGAGAGAGTGAAAATACTTGAATCTAAACAACGCCTAGATTGGTCATGCACTCCATGCTCTGCTCGCAACTTTGTGGATGGGGTAGGACTATTTGTTAAATCAGTAATTATAATAAATTGGGCATGTACTCCTCCAAGACTGTAGCACATAGGCCAAGGACTAGACGATGAAGAATACAAATAAATGCAGCCTTAATTCTGAACACAGACCCCCCACTAGTACTACAGACAAAAAGTCTGATTGGCCACACAGATACTGTTACAGTGCAGTGGAATAGAAGGACCAGCGAAAAGCATGTACTAAGAAAGGACAAAAGGAAATTTAAGAGAAGTTCGGAATGCATTAGTGCATACTAAAAATATGTAACTGATCATGATTTTACCATAGATGCTCTTAGAAAGTTTGGAAGTAGAAGCCACCTGAGCGCCATTGCAGTAGGCAACCACGTTGTATCACCATGCTAATAACCCTGTCTAGTAGTTGCATAAAGTCCAAAATAAGGGAAGCCCAAGAGCAGCAGCCTAAACATCCACGATCCATGTCATATGCACTGGCATTTCATCATCCGAGATATGATTAGTTCTCACTACACTCAGACTCTCTAAAAAGTTAGAACTTCCCTTCAGTAAAAATGGAACATTTGTTTACCAAACATTTAAAATAGAGTGCAGGACCATATAAGCATTCATCTGACCACCAAACGTTAGAAACATGAGTGCAGGATCATAAACACATTCTGCAGAAATGACAGGAAGGACAAGATATAATTTGAAGACGGACGACACACCTGAATACTAAATAGTGCAGACGCCGATTGCCAAACTTTACAGACATCTGAATATATCTCAAGTTTTTCAATTCTTCATAAAACTGCTATGTAAAAGCTAAATCAGTATGTCCATGTCAAATTCAATGTTTAGGTGTAATAATGTATGTTCATTTACCAAACTGGATCCAATGACCTCTAATTGTGAAAAAGATGCTTCATAAAAGTTGGGTTATGGATCTTCTAAAATCTAGAGTTATTCATATCGTATAAATAATGGCATGAAGGTCAACACTCACAATGGGACTATACTTTGGTTATGGTAGTCTCTCACAAAGAATTACATAAAGCTCAAGCCCAAAACTAACACACAGGAAATATATTGAGACTGCAGCAACAATTGTACCACAAAAATGGAACAAAAAAAGAAAGTCATCTCTGAGGTCAAAATAGAACCAGAAGTTGTGTACTAGAAGAGCCCATCACCCATGGAATCCTAAATCGATAAATCCCCCAATCCTCGGAGAACATTTCTTTCATGTTATTCTATAGTTACTGCTAACCCAACTTGTCTGAGACTAAAATGCTTTGCTGCTGTGTTATTCTAGTCACTCTAGGTAGACCAGTTATTCACAGACACCATTACGCCTGTTAGTTAATTACTTAAGCGTACAGGCCCCTTCAATAGAAAATCATTTATGAAGTTGCAAGAAAGTTACTCAAAAGAGCTAAGGGCAGTGTTGCAAACAAGAGTTGTCTCCGCCCTTTAACATATACAACATATCCTTCAGATTGAATAACACATATCTTAACAAAGTTTGGAGTGTGGATATACATCTAGTCATCTACAAGGGTTCAATAATAAAATCATGCCCCTCCACTGCAAGGTCAATCCCACTAGCCCCACCACTAATTTACACAAAGTAGGATATACCTTCTTTTCCTCACCAGCATAAGCGATCTTTTCTGAAGCAGCATATCACTCTCTTTTAAGATATTGTAAGCATCCTCTTATTCCTGTGTTTTACAAGCTGGCAATATAAATAGAGAAAATAGATAGGTAAAGTACTTTTTTCAGCAATCTGTTCTATAATGATTGCAGACCACACAATAGCAAATATTAATGAAACAAACTGGCATTAATGAAGATACCACAATAGACTAGTGGGTTCCAGTGTCGGTATTTAAAATGTAGTAAAAATGCTTAGTGGTTACTGAACACAGCTTGCTCCGAAGGTATACTTCCAAGTGTGCATTTCTATTGATATTAAAACAAGTCTAAAAGAGTATGCTGACTTACATTTCCACATCTGAAGCAGTACACATAGATGCATTGAGTCAAAAAGCAACAGTATATTGCTCATTAATAGTCAAGTGGTCAACATGTTGCTTACAACAGAACCACATAAATTTTGTCACTTGTAATATATCTTCAAACACTAAGCTGCATAAATCAAAAATCCATTTCCACAACTTCACGTCAAGTATGATTCCTTGTACCTGGACATCATTAGGCAGCCTAAAGTTTCAAAAATAATTGACCAAATTCAAAATATGAAGGTTATGCACGAATATCACTGCTCCAAACATGCAAGTGCATAAGAATGCTCAAAGATACTGGACACCTTTACCAACATTATCCATATCATTTCACTATGCTGTGTGGCTCTATAGCTCTGCATGGTTTGAACTTTGAAGGATAAGGCAAAAGTGCAAAGCACTAAGGTGATATGGCTTTCACTTCACAAAAGGAGCACCATAGAATTTCCACAAAGATGGTTTCACCGCCAAGATACACCCCAGGAAGTACTTCAGTGGCTCCATCCTACAAAGCTAGTTAAGAACACCACAGCATTTCATCTCGTCTAGCTCCACCACTAAAACTCAATGACCTAAACATTGAACAAAAACAATTACACCTCCTTACCAGTACCAGGTATAGCATTTTAAGGATGTAAACAAATACTATCAACAACAGACTGTCAACTATATATTATTTTTTTTAAGAAAAAAGGCAGGAGCTCTGCCATTCAGTTAAGTAGAAACAGAGGTGTTCCAGGTGTTGCAGGCAAGCGTCAAGCACAAAGGTTGCCCCCAAGCTGCCCACCAAACAGGACAAGAAACTGCCTAAGAGGAAGAAAAATACACACAGCCCCCAAAAAACAGCACTAGGCACAAGGAAATTGACCAACAAGCAAGATAGCATTACTGATTGAAATAATGCAGAACTTCTGGCAGTGCGTCATCTCAAATTTCCAGTAGGCTCAAAAAACATAAATTACTAAGTAGCAAAGCTCACTTACACATCTGCATCTGCACAAAGTCAATACTAAATTATACTGGTTATAGTAGCCACACCAAACCAAACTGGAAGGTAATTCTAAGACAATCAGACACACGTGAGCACACACTCACACAAAGGAGGTGGGCCATGCAATATACACACACCATTCATCTCGAATGCATTTGTGTAAAAAGATTAGAAGGGAAAAAACAGAATCGTCCAATTATCCCAGACACATCCAGTAACAGCAGGATGCAATTTCTGTTGTTTTGGCATAAATTCATAACAGAGGACATCGGCAGGCAAGTCTGTTGTTTTGGCATGAAGGTAAAACAATCAACATATTGCAGTTTTCTTTTTAGTATAATGATACGCAGTCCTCCTGCATGTTCGAGAAAAAATCAACATATTGCAGTGAAATTTTCAAGCTACTCATGTCAAGCTGTTGCTCTGAACCATGTTCACCTTTATGAGCGTCAACTACAAGAAAAAGAATCATATATGGTTCCAAATATTACATTTATTTTCTTACAAGACTCCAAGGGAACTGCAGTGTCCATAACAAGATGCTAGATAACAATACAGACAATGCAAGATACACAAGACAAAACCAGGATGCAAGGACCACAAATGATAGTTCCCTTAGAAATGTGAAGTATCATGGATACAATATGGAAGAAAGCTTTAGCGTACAGAAATCCATATGATTGTATCGATTTAAAACACACGCCCCGTGCTGCCACTGCTATCTAAGCAACCATATTTTTACCCATACAACAAACAGAGAAGGCAAATGTAGAGTCCATACATACTAAGTTAATATAATCCTATCCGCCCAAAAAGACAGTCTTACAAGATTCCCCTGATGCATCTTTTTACAGGAATGACTCAAGACAGATGACAAGTTATATGAAACTTAGCTTGGAAACTATACATATTTAGAAGAAACCTGGAAAGAACAATATAATGCAATTCCTAGAATAACCAAGAGACATGCACATGCTCCATATCTATCTGGAACTACATAGCTAACCTACCAATTTAATTGTACGACAAAACTAATCCACCTCACTGGATTAGAAGTCATAATTCCACACAGATTGTAAAGGTGCCAGATAAAATGAAGGTGGTTGTGTTCCAATAGATGGTTAGTTGTGTACAACAGCAACTTATAATAAGCCAACTCCAAAGAGCTCACGAACACAAACAGGGAGAGAAGAGAGGGATGAGAAGAAGAAAATGTGGCAGATCAGAACAGCTCACATTTCAACCAGTATGCATGACTTCTTTAGTAATAATAATATATGAATTGCAAAGAGAAAACATATATCAAACTCTGTATGCCTTGCAGACACTTTTCCCCATGTCTGTTATCTAACAGCTAGAAATCTAAAACTATAGGAGCAGAAACTGGACTACAACAACATTTGCTCATTTCAACCTAAAACCTGACAAAGACCTCCGAATGCAATGGCTGGGTCTGAGCATCAGGCTCACTGAAAAATATCTGGGCATTTGCTGAAGCTCTTTCCAGATGCAATATTTCTTTTTTTAGAAGATCAGGCAGTATATCTGACTGAATCTTGCGGAGTCCTTGAGGGTGATCCTCCTTAGGAGCAATCAGAAATAGTTTATTCAGACTACTAGACTTTCTAAGCAGAAATCCTACTAGTTGCATCTCATTACGGTGCCCCTTGAAATTTGTCATCTTGGCTAAGCAAAGGTTTTCTAATCCACCTTTTGGTGGGTCCTCCTCCGCCACCTTCAAGAAATTCTCCGTGAATGCATCACCAGTGTTTGTCGGGAGCTGCATGTCCAGTGGAGCATGTTGAGAAACAGATCAGATATCCATAAACAAACTAAGCAATCGAATGCAGTTTTTCATGAAAATAAGAAGAAAAAAATAGAGACCTGCACAAAGAGGCGCTCCAACTGAGGACAAGGGCAGGTCTTGAGGAAGCTATAGATGTCAGCAAGGTTGGAGTTGGCCATCCAGAACATGAGCAAATGGAGCTCCCTCAAGCCATGCAGGTTGCTCTCCATTACAGCCTTGGCTGTGAAAGAAGAAACATACTACAAGGCAAGGCAAACAAGTATAAGCGTAGAGGCAGTGAAATGTGCTGAAAAGAAAATGGCGCAAACGCCTGAGCAAACCTGGAGGGCAATGCTGCAGAGGGTGAGGACAGTGAGGTTCGACAGGCGAGGAACTGCATAGGGCAAGTTGGTGGTGGGAAGGCCGGTCTCTGGCCCGCCAGAGCAGAGGTACAGATGCTCAAGAGAGCCCTTGGCGCCAGAGAGGATGTTGCTGGAGAGGAAGGCGCCGCTGAAGCGGAACGACCGGAGGCGGGGCGCGACAGGGACCCGGAGCTCGGTGGTGCGGGAGCAGTCGACGACGGTGAAGCTCCTGAGGTTGGGCACCCCGACGTTGCTGAAGTCGACGCGGCGCAGGCGGCGGCAGTAACGGAGGTCGAGCTCCCGGAGGCGGGGGCAGGCGGCGACCATCCGGCGCAGCGCGGCGTCGGTGAGGAAGACGGAGTGGAGGTGGATCACCTCGAGCGTGATGACCATGGCGTTGTTGACGGCCGTGAGGTTGAGCCCGCGCATCGACAGGCGCGCGAGCAGCGGGCTCCCCACGGGGAACTGCACAGTGAGCATGCCGGGGCGGCGCGTGCCCCCGCGCGAGCCCCGGCCGGCGCCCGCGCCGCCGTCGACGCGGAGGTGCAGGTCCTCGGCCTCGCACGCCGCCGTGTAGTGGACGCAGCGGTTGAGGTCCGCCTGCGTGAGCTGCCCGCCATGGAAGGCGAGGGAGAAGCCGTCGACGCGGCGGCGCCCGCGGCGGTCGATCCCCGCGAGCGCCTCCGCGCGCGCCGCCGCCACCGCCACCGCCCCCGCCGCGCCGCCGCCGGGCGGGAGGCGGATGCTCACCGAGGACGGCTCCGGCCAGCGGTACGCCCAGAGGCGGCGCCACCGCGAGGAGAGCGCGCCGGTGCGGATGGCCGATTTGAGCGGCAGCAGGCTGAGAATCTGCAGGCGCAGGACGTCGGGAAGGTCCGAGATGCGGTCCTCCTCCACCGGCTCCTCGTGGGCCCCTCCCGTCCGGCGCCGCTTCTCGCCGTGCCCCGCCATTCCCGCTCCTCCGCCGGCCTCTATCGGCGCCGCATCGGGGGAGGATTCCACGGGGGTAGGGCCGTAGGGGGTTCGGTCAGGCTTCGCTACAGAGGTGTGAGCAGGGACGGGAAGGAAACGGAAGCAGAAGGGAAGGAGGGGGAGAGACGTGTGGAGGTGTCTCGCTCGCCGCCTGGCCGCTGCGGTGGCCTCTTGTGCTCGCGTCGGGCCGGGCGGGCGGGCTTCCCCCTCTCTCTGTGCTGTGCGTGCCGTGTTGCGTTCTGGCTGGCTGGCTACTTGTTGCTGTTGGTGGTGGACTGGTGGTGCCCTGGTCGTCCGGCTCGCGCTCCTCCGCCCGCTCGCGTCGGAGGTCGGACCCCGCCCGGCAGCCCCTTTGCGTTGCGTTGCCTTGCCTTGCGCTTGCGGTGGGCTGGCGAGTGGCGACGTTGCTTTACCATCCCGGCTTTTCGCCGGGTCGCCACACACCACAAGCCCACGCCGGCCACACATTTTTCTCTCGCCTGCTGCCGTTCACACCGCCCCCTTCTCATTTCTCACCCATTTTTGCTCTGCTTGCCTTTCTGCACACTTCTCAATGCCTGCTAGTTTTGAGCCTTCAAATAAAATGCCTGCTACTTCTACGAGAGCAAGAAATACTTGCCTGCTAGTTTTGAGCCAACAGATAAAATGCCTGCTAGTTTTGAGCCTTCAAATAAAATGCCTGCTACTTCTGCGAGAGCAAGAAATACTTCTTCCCTTCTTTAGTGCTCCTGCTTGTTTTTTGAGAGGATCTTCCATGTGTTTTTTATGATCCCTTTAGCTAAAATCTACTATATCTATATGCACTTTTGTAGCTCTTCATGACTTATGTATAACTCGTCTAAAGAAAGAGACGGCCTAAAGAGTTGCTGAAGGAGATTAAGGGTCTCTTTGGAGTGTAGGAATTTTACACAAATTGTATAATAAAAAAATATAGAAATCGATTTATTTTCTCATGAAAAAATAAGGATATTTTCTCATGAAAAAAATAAGGAATGGAAAAAATCTGCATTCCAAAGGGGCCTAATTTTAGAGTTTTAGGAATTTATTGGACGTAAAACTTATAAGAAAGGTAGGCCCGACTATGGGTAATGGTGGGTGGTACTACATCAAGTGGAGGAGTTGACTAGATTAGAATGAAATGGTCATTGTTGGGAGCGATAACAAGTGGCTATGGCAAGGAGTCACATCAAGTAGTCAATGACATGACAAGGCTCTAGCATCGATGATAGAAAGCCGAGGTGGGATAATTAGCGGAGTTGTGACAAGTCAAGGGTGGTACCATTGCTAGGATAGCTTTGAGGCTAAAATAGAGATGCCAGAGAGAAAGAAGACAGTGTGTAGAGAAAAGATAAAAAGGTTGCAACCAATATCCTTGTATTTGAAAAAGAGTTGTTTTTTGGTTGATTGTGGTTGTTTTCTACCAAGATATTTATTAAAACAATCTGTGGCTAACCCACTGTAGCATCATCACTAAAAATAGAGTTATTGTATCATTTTTTCCTCCATAAATCATGAGTGCTACATTCAAATCGCCATAAGATTACGAGTCATAGGATCTTTTATGTGTCTCTTTTGGTAATATAAAACACAAAACAAATAATTTTTGCTAAAGGAAAAGCTTTTCAACACGAGCTCTAGCACTCCTCATGTAACAGTTTCTCCTTTTCGTGTCATTGTCTCCCTCACATGATGACTCATAATTCTGCTCTAGAATAAGGCCTCGTTCGGCTTACCTTATAATCCGCACTATTCATCTTGTTTTTTTTTCAGCCAGAACAGTGTTTTTCTCTCACAACAATTCAGCCAGAACAGTGTTTTCAGCCAATTCAGCCAAGTTTCAGCAAGCCGAACGGGGCCTAAATATTTATCTCCTCCCCTTTTTATGTCTCGCCTTGTTTTAGAGAGCATCTTCCATAATATTTTCCAGATGATGATCATTTTAGTGAAAATATAAATATATTTCATGCCTTATGCATCACTTGACCACAGAAAGAAGACAGCCAAGGATGCTTGTTGAAGGTAATAAGGTTTAGTGTTTCAAGAGTTTATTGGACATAGAAGCTATGAGGAAGGTCGGCCTAGCAATGGATGACACTGCAACGAGATGATAGATTGGGGCACAGGCATCACGTAGAGTGCTACATAGCAACAATGGGCAATCACAAGATGAGGAAAGGTGGTGGGAGTGCCACAATGGTGATTGCAGAGGCAGAGTCATTAGCGGCTATGGTAGGTGGTACACCATAGCTAGGCAGGGTTATGCTGGCCGGAAAAAGAAGGCGTCCTTGGGAGGAAGATGTGTGGCATGAAGAAGAGGAGGAGTTGTTTTACCAAAAAAAAAAACAATCTGTATATGACCAAGATCCCGGGTCTAAATAGATTCATATAAACTCATTGGTTATCATATGAAAAACAGTTGCTCCAATTTAGTTGATTGTGATACCGCATCCTACTAGGATATATTAGAGTGAGGTAATCCCATGTAGCAGCATCTTGACAATCAGGCCATATGATCATAATTGATCTAATGATTGTAATGCAACTATCAACCTTGCTAATAAGCCAAAGGAAAAATTGCTAAAGAAAAACTTTTGGCGAGTCCAACCTTTTCATGTAATCATTTTCCTTTTCCTCCCCCTCCACAACTTTATCATTTGCCAAATTCCTCAAAGCACCTATATGAGTCACTTATTTTTCAATCCAACAAGGTAAACACGTCTCGTTCTCGTTTATATTCCCCACTACCACAACAATATGCCAAGTAAATACTCAAAGGACAAATGCTGTTTACGTCGATGACGGTAGTACTTCCCATCGCTTTCATTACACCAGAAATTTTTCACTCTCGAGCGAAAGAATCTACGTGCGCCGTCCAAATCCAATAGTGCCTGCTTTCTTCTCTCGTTGATCTCAAATTCGTTTTAACAACAAAACAAGATCTCAGCAGGGGATGGTGGTATGGTAATGACTTTCAAATATTCTCCACAGTAACACACACACATTGCCAAAATGTCCGGGAAGAAGCTTCCGCCCGGTCTCCTTCATCCCCTCATCCTCTCGCCGTCTTGGATATTTCCCTGACGTGACACCAATAGCCGTGCCACTAACGCTGCGGAGAAAATGGCCGCGTCTTTCGTTGCCACTAACACCGTCACAGGTGGTACAGGGCCGGAAGGCGCCATCAGCCTGAGTTTATCCCCAGCCGTCAAATCCTGCAGTAGCTTTCATCAAACAAGCAGGTACAGTAAACAGACCGGTAAAAATTCTCACCTGAAATCTAAGCCTCATCATGCGCTGAGGTTTAGCTGCTGCATGCTACTCCAGTGGTTGAACAACTAAACTGTGATGAAACTGCACCTCAGCATCTGCTCGATCTGCGTTCTTGTATGGCATTTGCAAATATCTTATAACGTGTGAATTTCTTTTTTCTACTCCATCCAAAGGTGATCTGCTTTTATGAAATTCGTTCATGGGAGCTCTGAAAAGGATTTTCGCATCAAAGAAACCCGAACAAGAACTGCACATGTGCGAGATGAGATGTTTTTACATGTGAAAATCGTTCAAATCCAGCAGCTGCCCCTACGCCGTCTGTCCCTGTCGATCTCGGCCTGGGCCCTGCGCAGCCGGGCCTTGTAGTCCTTGGCCCACGCGCGGAACTGCGCCTTGAGCTTCTTGAGGTCGTCGGCGGAGGTGGCGGCCGGGGATGCCGCCGGCTGCCACGGCCCCGGCGGCGGCGGCTCCACGGCGCGATCCAGCGTACGGCTCTGCCGCCGGAACTCCGCGCCGAGGCGGCCCACCGCGCTCCGCCTGGCGCCCACGGACGACAGACGGTCCCGGCCGTGCCACAGCCTCACCACCGGTTCCGCCTCGGCCACCGTCGTCTCCGTATAGGGTTCCGATGATCCGCGGCGATCGTACGCTGTCTCTTCGGCCATTCGTGCAGCGTCCTGAGCCATCTGCATGATGAACACATATAATACGCAAGCGTTCACGGTTTCAGATGCATACAGCTTTTTTTGGCAGAGCGTTCGAGATTCCGGCGAACCTGCAGAGCGGCCATCTGTTCATGGAAGGCTTCCTCCAGTGACTTGGTCCTGATCTCGTACTCCAGCCACCGGATGTGGTAGCTCTCGATCCGCCGCCTCAGCGCGGCGTTCTCCTCCTCCACCTCCCGCAACCGCGCCTCGACCTCCACCGCCTTCCTCTCCAGCTCCTCCACCACCAAGGTGGAAACATCCTCCGTCGCCGTCCTCGCGTCTTCCGGTTCCTGCGCTGCGCCATTGATCACAATTCACAAGGCATTGTAACCTCGAACAGAACAGTCACGTGCATTCTTCAAAATTGCCAATGATGGCCGATGCTGAAGTGAATTGAAGGACGGAACCTCAATAGGCGACGGTGAAGGAGACGAGGGCAGCGGCGGAGGCTCCGATGGCCCCGCGACCTGGACCCGGACTCTGCGCCGCGGCCGCGAAGGGTGCCGGCCTCGCGGAGTCGGCCGCGCGGGAAGTGGCGGCGGCGGCGGCGGCGAGGCGAGGGTGTCGTCGATGGGAGCGTCGTCGTCATCGCCGCCCCCCGCTCCTCCTCCGCCTCCTCCTCCTGATCCTCGCATCAGAGAGTGGAGCATCGCCTCCAGGGAGCTCAGGGCGGATATCGCCATGGCCGGCGTTCTAGACAACAGCAGAAATGCAAACAAGGCAAGGGCACGGCGGCGCGCGGGTGTAGTCGCGAGCCGATTCTTACATCCTCGTCAGATCGCATCAAGATTTCGTAGCGCCAGCGCGCGATGCGTGACGAGTTTCGGGTGAGGAGAGCCGAATTCGCAACGAGTTGCTGCAGCATCGATAATAGGAAGCCGTTTCGACGAGCGAGGAGGTGCATGCGCGCATGCATGGAGATGTTTTTTTTTAAAAAAAAGGAAGCCAAAGCGATGGGGTTATTGAAGAGTGGAGAGGAGAGCATCCGGGAATATAGGATCTCTTTGAGAATAACCACAGTCCACAGACATCGATGTAGGCCTGGCCTCTTCACACTTCCTCAGCCAAAAGGAAACATGTTTGTGTTAACCTTACGTCTATATTTAATAATGCAAATCAAACAACCAATAAAACTAGAACGATACTCCGCTCGTTGTTGTGGAACTTTCTTAAAAATAAAATTGTTGCGTGTATAAATTAAACATATATGTTCTTACATCCATTCTTACCAAAATTAGCAAGGCAATGAAAGAATCCAGTGAAAAACTAATAGAATTAGATCAAATTATAAGATGATGGAAAGGCAAAACAAATAACAATATATGAATGTCCTCTTATTTCTTATATATTGAAATTAAATTGTGGTTAGTGAAAATAATGGTGTGAACAATAAAAGAATCCAATAAAAAAACTAACAGAATTTGATCGAATTATAAAACAATGTAATGGCAAAACAAATAGCAATATATGAATGCCCTCTATATTTCTTATATATTAAAATTAAATTACGCTTAGTGGAGATGGTGTGAACAGCTTGTATTAAGAGATTGAAAACATGATTATTAATGGAAGGTGATGTGGATAGATAGTGGGAAATGATGTGGATGTCTTGCATGTTGAGAAAAACTTGTAGTGGGGTTTAGCTTTATAAGAGATATAGATAGATATATTGCCAATGGGAAAAAGAATGCATGGAATATAAAAATGAGATGACAATAAAATATATTGCCACTGGGAAAAAGATTAGGCCATCTAGAAGATTCCGGAGTATTATGCTCCAAACTTCTGATTGCTTTCACTTGAAGCCAGCGAAACATCGAGAGTTCCCAACGTAGAACAAACATTTTACCAAATCTCTTGCATGTTTCAAAAAACATTCTGAGGACAAATAATGCAACAAACTAAAAAGTTATGTGCAAAATACACCACCTGCGTTGTGTCTCAATGATCTTGGCAAATCTTAATTTGGGTCTCGCCTGGACTGACACCGGCTTCCTTTACATGAGAATTTGGCATGTTCCACTATCTTGTATTTGGATGAGTGCCAGATGCTGCTGAACCAAGCCTTATGCAACCCAGCATGACGTGCCTTTCTTACCAATTGGGAGCTGGCGGCCTGATTCCTGCACAAAATAGTATATACTTATCAATGCAAATTAGATTGTATATTAGCACACAAAACTTTATAGTGACCAAACATTTACAGAAAAATGGCAAAGAAATGCTAGGTAAGTTATAACTGTGTCACACCCAATTTTAAGGATAAAATTGAATGCACAAAACTCATGTGTGCCCAGGAATCAATCACACACACAAGCTGACAAATCACAATAGTATCATCACGGTGTCCCATACATCAGAGTTATAATAAAACTTAGTCTTATACATCACAGCGGAATAATAAAAAGATAATTAAACTCTCGTGGCCGTCATCACAGGGAAGGTCAACTGGTTGACCACAAGCCTAATAATCCTCCGGGAAATCCTCATACCCGTAGTCATCTGTTACCCATCCGGGATTTTTATCAAAGTAAAGAAAATAAACAAGTGTAAGTACATTCCGTACTTAGCAAGATAACATGGGGTTATGAAGCTCAAAAAGGTTAGACTCTGGTTTACTGCAGTTAGCATTTTTATTAGGTCAAGCTTTTATTCTCAAGTATTATCAAGTTATGCTTAAGCTCCCATTTAATTCCCATAAGAACGTATATCGAAGTCATATGTACCATATATCATCACTAAACAACTTTATAAGATCATCATCAAGTATCCAGTTATTCTGTGAGTTTTCCGGGCCGCTCGTAATCGTGAGCACTACATTTATTATAATGATTTGTTACCTCTCTGAGAGGTGGTGCACATTCCGCATGAGTCGTGATCCCCATATGCGGGTTAATTACTCCCATGTCACTTCCAAGGTGGCGGGCGGGGTACACTATGAAGCCATTTCATAGGTTTCCCTAACAAGTTAGGGCCGCTAGGTTTCCTTATGAGCAGATGTAGGAACCCCTTTCCTATGGCACATATCCATCATGGCTATACACATAGGAACAGAGGCAGTCCTATACCCAACGTGGCAAGCCCCATTTGCGCCAAAAGGTAACCTCTAACTAGCTAGAAAAGGTCCTATTACTGAGCTAAAGTCAGAGCCATATGACTCTCCCGGTTGCACTGTCAGTCCCAGCTTTTGCCGACAGATAAGTCCTTATGGAGGGCCGGAAGCAACATGAACAAAGGTCATTTGCCCTTTCGCCCTATGGAACAGTTGTTATAAATCATGTTACTCACTTTGTTCCATAGTATCATTCATCAACAGGTATATCAAGTTCAGTTAGAGCACTAGCAATCTATCCATATGCATTTAACCCATAGGATACAAGGAACAGGATAAACAATCACTAGGATGTCCTTACGGGTATCAAAATTAGACACATGCAAATGAGTAATTGATTAAAGTGAAATAGGACATCAAGGAAGGCCCATGTTATACTTGCCTTGGTTCACAAACTCGTGTTTGTTCTCGCTGGTCGTCGAAGAGTTCTTGGTCTCCAACGTTTTCCTCACCGTCTGAACGCGACCAACATGGCAACATACAACATTCTAAAAGCATTCATGCAAAGCAAACATTCCTATCATTAGAACAGTACACCAACAGTATTGAAATCAAAATAAAATGTTTGTAAAACTAATCTACTTTTCTCTACGATCACGTCAACGCGAAGTTCACGAAAAACGGAGCTAAAAATGCGAAAGTTATGATTAAAACGGGTTTTCCTGTAGCCCCATATTTAATTAATTCTAATCATGAAATTAAAAAGTTCCAAACTTGACTATCAGTAGCGTCATCATGTAGCTTATGAAATTACGAAGCTAACGCGATTTGAATGGATCAATTCGGAGTTAAAGCGACAATTATATAAGCGAAAGCAGATTCGAATGGCATTTACGTAAACATCGAAAGCGTACTTTTGACTTAAATAAAGTGAAGTTTACGTTTTCTAAACGGGATTGCGCGATTCGGGAAAATACGCTAAGGACGACGGGTTAGGACTTAGAAAAATCCAGGGCTCTTTAGCAAATTTACCCCGAAGGGTATCTTCTATTTCAGTAGTAGATCACGCGATGGACGGTTCGGATCGGCTCTGGAGGGTTGGCGGCCGACGAAGGGGACTCCATGAGGCTAGCCATGGCCGGTGACAAAAGAACACGCCGGCGAGCTCGGATAGGGGGCTAGGGTCCGCCAAAGGGAGGCAAGGGCACCCGAGAGCTCTGGGAAGAAGGGGTCGTGCGGGTCGAAAAAAGGCGGCGAGGGGAAAGCGAAAAGGCGTGGGCGCCATGGCCGTGGCATGGAGCTCACGCACAGACGCGGATTGGGCGCTATAAGCCACGTAAACGCGAAATGAAACGCATTGGGAGAGAGAGGGACCACGGCGAGCTCACCACAGGCGAAAATCGGAGGCGGAGGCGGCTCGGAGAGGCTGCTGCCAGCGGAGGTGGATTTGGGCGAAATCCAGCGACCTCGGGCGACGGTTCTTTGGGGCCTCCCGCGCGTGGGCGAATTGAGCGGGCAGCAGGCGCATGAGGGGGGGGCTCGGCTGCTTTTTAACGAGGCCGAGGGGCACGAGGGGGCGCCCACAGCGCCAGGATACTGAACGGCGGTTCCGCCTTGACCGGAGAGGGGTAGTGGGGACCTTGGAGGTTAGGCGGCGCCTGATAGGTGGGGCCCAAGGCGGCGGCCGGGTGGCGGGCGTGGGCGGTTCTTGGTCTTGACGAGCAGGCGCTGTGAATGGCTATTTTTGACGCTTGGTGGGGTATGAAGGATATGTGAATGTCTTGGCTGGCTAAGTCGGGAAAAGGGAAAGGCGGGCTGTAGTCATTGTAGTCTTTGGGCATGGGAAAGAAATGGCCATGGGGCGAATGAGAGGAAGGGAGGAATGGAAGGAATTTCCCTTTTTCTTTTTATAAATAAAATTTTCAAACTCATTTTCAAAAGGTTTTTAAAATCTTTTAGCATTTGAACAAAACCACCCGTCACAGAAATAAATATGCAATAACATGAATGCATCAACATGTTTCTATTCTTGTATTTTCTTTTAATTTCATAAAAGAAATATTATTTCCTAAATTTGAAATGCACATATAATTGCATATTTAAATCAAATTTACTATTTAAAAAAAATTCAAATTTTAGGGTGTTACAATTCTACCCCCTTAAGATGAATCTCGTCCTCGAGATTCGGGTGACGTCGACTGAGAGATAGGGATACTCCGTCTTTGGATTCTCCTTTACTGCCTCGTGTAGTCCCATCGTCTTGATGAGGATCCCACTTTACCTTGCATATCTGTTGATCTTACTCCAAACGATACTCAGGTAACTCCAATCACTAGGCCACCTTTCCTTTTGAGTCCACAATACCAATTCTTTTTCTTAAAATACCCACCTTTCGATTGAAAATTCCTTACTTTATTGATCGGAAGGAAATTCTTCCACCAATCTTCAAAACATGAATGATTACGGTTAAGTTGCTCGAACTTGAAATACAATTCTTGATCCTTGGTGTCATCAGAACCTTCTTAGCACCACTCCCATTGCTAAGGGCATCGGTCATGACTTTTGCTTCTCCAAGTGATAGCACTTTTCCAAGTCATAATCAATTTTCCTTCCAACGAGGATATCACCAAT